ATTAGACGCACGTCTCTCCGCATTTAATGCCCGAACACGCATCATTCCACGATTCAGCACAGCCTTTACCGATTATCGAGGTAATTTTGGCGATAAATTTAGCCGCCAAAATTTTACTTATACGCATCACCCTTCTCCTATGTACTTGATAATTTCTCAAACTTTTAACTTGCATCTTTGTTTTCCATCTTTTCCCTAATTCTCTTTGAACCAAAACCCTTCTTATTCCGGTGACACAATCTTGTGTTACTGGAAAGTTGGTAGAAATACTCCTTTTGGGGGGGATTACTATAATTCTTATTGCAGGCTTCTAACGGTTGATTAGACGGACGTCTCTCCGCATTTAATGCCCCGAACACGCGTCATCCCACGATTCAGCACAGACTTTGCCGATTATTGAGGTAATTATGATCATGAATTTAGCCGCTAAAATTTTACTTATACGTATCACCCTTATCCTATGTACTTCATAATTTCTCAAACTTCTAACTTACATCTTTGTTTTCCATCTTTTCCCTAATTATCTTCGAACCAAAACCCTTCTCCTTCTTCTTATTCAATGGCTTATTCTTCCAAACGTGACGGCTCTTTAAAGAAAAAGAACAAGGCTGAGGACTCTGCTCCTCCAACGGTAGGTTCCATCATCCCCCGAAGTCTTAACACCACAAAAGACTTCGAAGAGAAATTCCTACTGCTAACCATCGTTCATGGGCTGTCAGTAGGTGTCCTTCTTCAATTCGCCCTTCCAGTATTCTTACTGTGAAGGAAGACTGGCGCTGCCATGAGTTGGGCATCATTGCTCCTGATCTATCAGAGCGAGTGACCTTTCCCAGGGAAGGTTTTACATATTTTTACACGTATCTTTTTACTTTGGGCGCATTTTCTTTGAGCGGAGAGCTTGATTCCGTGATTGCGGAGTTTTGCATTCGCTACCAAGTATGCTTGGCACAAGTGAGTCCTTCAGTGTTGAGGATGGTTGCTTGTCTTCGACGCCTGTGCCAAAAAACTAGAGAAGAGCTATCATTAGCTCGTATGATGAATTTTTACTCCCCCAAGATTTTCTAGGGGAGGGGAGGGTATGATAAACCTCTGCAAACATGGCCACCATGCTCGGTTGACTAGCATGGATGATGATAACGACCGTGGGTAGACGGAACGGTTCGTTGTAATTGCCACCAATAATATCATTCCGTCAACGGCTTCCGGCCGCTTGGAACCATACTCGTAAGACCTCTATCTAGTATATTTTCTTTCGTTGAATATTCTTCTATGCCTGTATTGATTCTTCATACTTTGTATATTTCAGCAACTCGATGGATCCCACCGGCAGTGGAAGGCCTGGACCGGTGGGTTCAGAAGATCTTGGACGTTACGATGCCCGAAACTCGTTTGTGGAAAGAATTGTCCCTTAAGTACGGGTGGAAGGCCAAAAATCATGGTAATTCAAACTCACCGTATTTTATTTTTTTCATATGAAGAACTTGACTAATTTCTTCTATCTTTTTTTTTGAAATCAGGTCTGCCTGCGGGCTCAGTTGTTGTCTCCGAGGAGGACGTTTTGGCTGATCCTGCCGATGCGGTGAGGCTGCTTCAGGAGGCGCTTACTCGAGCAAGTGTCTCCGGGACTGCTTCGGGCATAGGTGTTTCATTACGGAGTCCCCGTCCGGAGAACAAGCAAACAAAGATAAGGCGTTCTTCTACGGCCGGGGAAAAGAATAAGAGGGCAAAGACTACTGCCCTCGTGTCATCTTCGAAAGTCGTGATCACTAGCCCTCCTCCTGGGCCGGTCATAGACAGCATGGTGGTCGACGATGATGGAGAAGCCAGTGATGATGGGGCTTCTCCACACAGAAGGCGACGTTCATCATCAACTCAACAGAATGCTCCATCAGCTGAGTTAACTATTCCAATCGAAGACGACGTCTCGGCGCTCTGGGGAAGTTTGATTTGGTAGAAAATTCCAACTCCCGCTACCGGGTCCCTGCTGTTGTGCCCGGTACTGCGGGACGGAGTATCGAGTCCCTGTCGTCTTTGGTTGGGGAGCATCCATCTACCAGCATTGTATTTGATGCAGCTGCTTCTCATCCTTCGATTCCATCAGCTTCATCTCCATCTTCACCAACACTAGCAACTGCTACATCACTTCTATCTTCATCAGCTCTTCCACCAACAATTGCTACATCATCTTTGCCGGCCGCACATGACCGTGAATAGGGTGTTCCTCTTCCCCAGTCCCCAATTCATGGGAATTTGGGGCAAAATTATGCTGCCCCTTCTGAAGACCCATAGAGGAGGAGGATTGTTACTCTTTCGATCTCTACCGGGTGCAACATAGTTTCCCGACAGGTGGAGCTTGCTAATTATCTGAAGCCTCTGGCTTCGGATAAATATTGGAAAAAGGTACGGGCACTCTCGGGAGAGTGCCTTTTGAACAATGGCATGCATAATGTCGCAGCGGTACGTTTCTTTCTTCGTAATTTCTTCTACATTTGCATGAATATATTTTAAGTTTTCTCTTGCTTTGTAGGCCAACACCCTTGATTCCGAGAGCCTTTAGAAGCTTATTTGCGAGAAAGAGGAATTACTTTTGAACGGAATCAACTTTTGGCAGAACAGGACCAGACTGTCCTCCGCCTCTCAGAACTGGAAACCAAAGCCGGTGAGGTTGTTTTTTTAGAGGTTCGTTTGCAGCAAAGCGAGCAAGAGGTGGTAACCGTTAGCCAAGAAATTGGCCTGCTAAGGGTTAGATTTGATTAGACCAAGCCAAATGGGCCGAAGTCCATGACGTCGTTCTTGCTGCAACCGAGTGCGAGGCTGCCATTGTTGAAAAAGTGATTGAATTAGAAGCAGCCTTGGACTCCAAAATCGAGCATAATAGGCTCTTTAGTTCAACTGTCAGTGACCTTGATATTAGCCTCCGATCTGTTAGGTCCGCCCGTAAAAGCCTCTCTAAGGAGGTAACCCAACTCAAGGAAAAACTCAAACGTCGAGCAGCTTTCCTCGTTGTTGAAAAAACTTACGCCATGTACAACATGAGGAGAAAAACCTTGGAAGAGGCCAAAGCAGGCATCCTTGACTTTGATGCCGAAATTGCTAGGTCCCGAGAGCTTGAGTTGGCTGCTAAAAATGGACTCCCGGAGCAGTATGATGCTTCTGGTTCTTCTGGTTCCGGTTCCGAGTATTCGGGAACTGAAGAGGAATCGGATGATGATGATGCTGAAGACCAAACTGGGGAAAATGTCGAGCCATCGGCGGATCCACCTACTTCTCCCGGGGACGCAGACGCTTCTTTTCCTCCTGGTTCCGAAGATGTTGCGGTTTAGACTTTCTTTTTCTTTTTCCTATCATTGTGTCTTTGCCATTTTGGGCATGTTTTTGTAAATAAAGACACATTTTTGCTCAAGTATTGTTTGAGTCTTTTCGTTTGAATATCCATGCAAGTCTTTGATCTTTACATTTGCTTAAGAATTTTGCGCATGTTTTCATTTCGTGCTTTGCTATGCGTAGTTTCGGATGCACTTTCTTTTAAGTACTTTGAATCCGAGCATTATCCTTTTTTCATAAGGGTTTCTATAAGTGTTTGCGCAAGTTTACTTTTTTGCGTCTTTTCGTATGCGTCTTCGGGTGCATTCTTTCCCCGAAGGTATTTTGATTTCGGGCATAAATTCTTTTGAAGCCAACCCTTTGACGTGAGGGTTTTAATAAGAGAGGGCCCTCTTATGTTTACGATGCTCTTGAAGAGGACGTCTCCTGTTCATTACGGCACTAGCATTTGAAGTACTTGTTAACTTTCGAATGATAAAGTTAGTTCATCGTTCGGATAAGAAACAAGATAAAAACAAAAGGATTCCATTTCATTTAATTCCTTCTATTTTCAAAAGTACAAAAGCATTTTTTATGCTAAAAGAGAAATTGCCATTGCTTGTGACTATCTTGTATAACTTGTTTCTACGGGGCTGGCTGTGCAGTCCCCGATCCCGATGACACATTTATATTTCTGGAATTCCGTTCCCGGTCGACGTGGCAGTTATTGATGCTTTATCCTCATATCACTCCCTCTAGTGTTCAAATGCGAAGAATACGAATTGGAACACTGGAAGTCTTGTACCTTAAAAAATTCCACCAATGGATTGCCAGATAATCCTTCACTTGGTATCACATCTTACTTCCCCTCAGGAATCTGTGCTATCGAGCAAAATATTATCTAACAATCCTCTAGTGATTTATGCTCATGAACGGTCGGGTAACCTTTGCTCAATAACAAGCCTAACTTCCCAATAGGAATTTGCTATAGAGCCAAAGACTATATAACCATCCCCGAGTAGGAATTTGTTGATATGCCTTGATATTAAAGGTCTTCCTACTGCTATCCTCGGGTAACCTTTGCTCAATAGCAAACTTAACTTCCTAGTAGGAATTTGTTGGTTTGCCTTGATATTAAAGGTCTTACTGCTGCTATCCTCGTAGTATGCTTTCCGCCGCTGCCTCGTTGAAAACCTTGCCAGAAAAACCCAACTGGGACAAAAACTGAACGAAGGAAAAAAGAGTACAACACATACTTTCCGCTCGTATAATGTTGATCAGCAATAATATCTTTTGAGGTGTGTCACGTTCCAGTTGCTAGGTAGTTTTTCTCCATTCTGATTTTCCAACTTGTATGAACCTTTCCCGGTGATGGTTGAAATCTGGTAGGGACTTTCCCATGTTGGTCCCAGCTTCCCCGTGTTGAGCTCCCGGGTATTTTGAGTTACTTTCCTTAGAACCAAATCTCCTTCCTTGAAATAACGGAGATTGGCTCTTTGATTATAATACCGCTCCACTCTACTTATGAGCTGCCATTCTTACACGCACCAAGTCCCTGCGTTCCTCAAGCAACTCCAAGTTGATTAGCATTGCTTCATTGTTCGATTCTTCATTTGCTTGGAAGTACCTCAAAGTAGGTTCTCCTACTTCCACCGGATTAAAGCCTCTGTGCCGTACACAAGAGAAAAAGGAGTTTCTCATGTGCTCGATTTGGCTGTTGTGCGGTAGGCCCATAGAACTCCGGGTAATTCTTCGAGCCATTTGCCTTTTCCCGCTTCCAGCCTTTTCTTGAGGTTTTGAATAATCACTTTGTTCGTTGATTCAACTTGACCATTCGGGCTCGGATGGTAAGGTGAAGACGTGATCCTTTTTATCTTCAAATCTTCAAGGAACTTCGTAACCTTTGCACCGATAAACTGCAGCCCATTGTCACATGCTATTTTTTTCGATATTCCAAACCTGCAAATTATATTTTCCACAAGAAATCTACCACTTCGCGTTCTCTGATCTTCTGATAAGGACCTGCTTCCACCCATTTGGAGAAATAGTCAGTCAAAATTAAAAGAAACCTTACCTTTTCGGGAGCCGGTGGCAGCGGTCCAACGATGTTCATCCCCTATTTCATGAACGACCATGGGGACAAGACCGAATGTAAGGGTTCCACCGATAGATGTATTAATTGTGCGTAACGTTGGCACTTATCACATTTTCGTACGAAATCTTTGGCGTCCTATTCCATGCGGGGTCAGCAATATCCTGCCCGTGCCAACTTCAGTACCAAGGAATCTGCGCTCGAGTGGTTGCCTCATATCCCTTCATGAACTTCTCTCATGACATAATTAGCTTCGGACGCTCCTAAGCACCGAGCCAACGGGCATTGGAAAGATTTTCTATACAATTGACCTCTCTTGAAGCTGTATCGTGCAGCTTTTGCACGCAACGCCCGTGATGCCTTGTGATCTTCAGGCAACTTCCTGTGTTCGAGGTAATCGATTATTTCATTCCTCCGGTCCCATACCAAACTAGTTGAATTTACCTCGTAATAACCATTTGTATCCAGAACCGAGTTTGTCAATTGTATTACCGCGCCAGACTCTATTCCCTTTATTTTCGTTGATGATCCCAAGTTTGCCAAGGTATATGCTTCTGTGTTCTCCTCTCTTGGGATATGAGTAATTGACTATTCTTGGAATCATGCCAACAGAGTCTGGACCTTTATTACGTACTGTTGCATGCGTTCTTCCTTAGTGTCAAAGATCCCATAGACCTGATTTACCGCCAGCTGTAAGTCGTATTTGATTTCGATGACATTGGAATCAAGTCCTCTGTCCAATTCAAGTCCTGCAATCAAAGCTTCATACTTTGCTTCATTGTTAGTTAAAGGGATTTTTCTGATGGCTTGCCTCAAAATTTCTCCCGAAGGCGTGATTAAGACTATTCTAAGTCCAAACCCTTTTACGTTGGAAGCCCCCGTTCGTTAATAAGGTCCAAACTTCTGATGTCAATTCTGACACCGTTGCTGCCTCCTTGGTTGCCAGGAGTAGCAATCACAGACTGAAACCGGTCACGAAGTCAGTCAAGACTTGTGACTTAATTGCAGTCCTTAGTTTCTATTCAATATCAAATTCACTCATTTCAACAACCCATTTGGCCAATCTGCCCGAGAGATCGGGCTTATGAAGAATGTTCCGCAAAGGAAAAGTAGTCACCACAGCTATCGGGTGACATTGGAAGTAAGGCCTCAGCTTTCGAGCAACTACTACGAGAGCTAAGGCCAATTTTTCCAAATATGGGTAGCGAGTTTATGCTCCTGTTAGAATTTTGCTAACATAATAAATGGGAGATTGCGTACCTTTGTCCTTATGGGCTAAAACCGCACTTACCACAAGTTCCATGACCGCGAGATAGACCAACGATGTTTCGCCTTCTTTTGGTTTTGAGAGCAATGGAGGGCTTGATAAATACCTCTTCAAATCCCTCAAAGCTTGTTGACACTGTGGTGTCCAATCAAAATTATTTTTCTTTTTGAGCAAAGCGAAGAAACGATGACATTTTTCTAACGACCGGGAAATAAACCTGCTCAGAGCTGCCAACCTTCCTGTGAGCCTTTGGATGTTCTTTACGCTCGACAGTTGATCGGGGATGTCCTCTATGACCTTGATTTTGTCGGGGTTTACCTCAATTCCTCTTTGCGAGACCAGAAACCCCAGAAACTTACCAGAACTAACCCCGAACGCGCATTTCTCGGGGTTAAGTTTCATGTTATGCTTTCTCAGGATATCAAAAGTTTCTTGCAGATGTTTGAGGTGGTCACCTGCATTCAAAGACTTAACGAGCATATCGTCTATATAAACTTCCATAATTTTTCCCATCTGATGTTCAAACATCTTGTTCACGAGCCGCTGATAAGTGGCTCGGCATTCTTTAACCTGAAGGGCATCACATTATAACAATATGTACCGAAATTCGTTATAAACGAAGTCTTTTCTTGATCTTCCGGGTTCATATTGATTTGGTTATACCCGGAATAAGCATCGAGGAAACTCATTAACTCGTGCCCGGCCGTGGCATCAATCATTTGATCAATATTTTGTAGTGGGAACGAGTCTTTTGGACACGCTTTATTAAGATAATTATAATCTACGCACATACGGAATTTATTGTTCTTCTTAGGAACTACCACATTATTAGCTAGCCAATCCGGATATCTTACCTCTCGGATCGAACCGATATTAACGAAGTGAGTTACCTCTTCTTTGACGAATTTATTCCTGGCTTTTGCAATAGGGCTTTTCTTTTGTCTTACTGGAGGTACGTCGTGATCTAACCCCAGCTTGTGCACTACTACCTCCGTCGGGATTCCTGTTATATCCTCATGCGACCATGCAAAATAATCGGCGTTAAATTTAAGAAATTCAATAAAACCAAACCTGAGCTTCGGGTGCAATCTCGTTCCCAAATGGAACTTGCTTTCTAGGAATTCTTCGAACAATGCAACTGTCTCCAGTTCTTTCATTGTGGGCTTTGTCGCGTCCGTCTATTCTGGAACTTGGAAATATCTCGGCACCTAATATTGTTTTGATGATTCTATTTCCGGGCCAACTTCTTCTAGCTCAGAAGCAAGTGCCGGTTCCTGTAATTGCTATGCTGCGTGCTCCTTCCCTTTGCTATTGGAAACTAAATTTGCATTTATCTCCCTTGTTGCTGGTTGATCACCCCTTATCTGCCTGATTCCTTCGGGAGTTGAAAATTTCAGCAATTGGTGATACGTCGAGGGTACAACTTTCATCTCGTGTAGCCATGGTCTTCCCAAGATGATATTGTATCCCATGTCACCATCTACTACTTCAAAGATATTTTTTTCATTACTCCTTCAGCGTTTGTGAGCTGCAAAATCTCCTCCCAGGTCGTTACGCTCGCGAGGTTGAAGTCAGCGAGGAGCTTTGTAGCCGGAACAATGCTTCCGATGAGTTTAGCTTGCTCCAAAACTCTCTATTGTATGATATTAGCCGAACTTCCTGGATCCACTAAAACACGTTTAATTTTAAAGTCTAACACATTTAAAGAAATTACCAATTTATAGTTGTGCGGTAACAGCAATCCGTCTGCATCTTCCTCCGTGAAAGTGATATCATCTTCTCGGAGCCCTTTACTATGAGTTATTGAAACTTTCGTATTCTTTGCCGCCGAAAAGGTCACCCCATTAATCTTATTCCCCCCCGAAGATCATATTGATCGTTTGGCATGGGGGTTCTTCTCCTGCTTTCAAAGGTTACGCATTGTCTCTGTTCCGACCATAGTGTTCTTGGCTCGATCACTTAAGAATTCTCTCAGATGACCATTCTTCAACAGCGTTGCCACTTCTTTTCGGAGGTGTCGGCAATCCCCCTGTTCGGTGGCCATTTGTCCCATGGTATTCACACCATAGGTTAGGATCCCTCTGACTGGAATTGGATCTCATTGGTCTTGGGAACCGTGTTTCTTTGATGCTTCTCATGGAATGCACCAATTCCACTGTACTGACGTTGAATTTGTATTCCGATAACTTGGGGTAAGAAGAATCCCGAGACCCCGGCGTCTCCTTATTCTGTAACGACCTATTATTCCGACCACGATCAAACCTTCTGTCAACGGTGAACTTGTCTGATGTCCGGGGGCCCCTACCACGGCCTTCGGTTCGTTTATATGGCAAAAAACCAGCCCTCGAAGACCTTGTGTCGTAGTCATCTTTTGATTTTTCTCTATCCTTCTCCCGTCCTTTGGCCGACGATGGAAAGCCAATATGGTCATCTTCGATCCTTATCTTTGATTCGTACAGGTTGTGGACATTTTCCCAAGTCGATGTCTGAAACTCAAGCAAGTTTTCCTTCAACTTTCGGGAAGCATCTAAACTTCTCGGATTCAGTCCTTTAGTGAATGCTTCAGCCGCCCATTCATCCGGGAAAGCTGGGAGCAACATTTTTTCCTTCTGGAAATGGGTGACAAATTCGCGTAGCAACTCAGACTCTCCCTGCGCAATCCTGGATATATCGGCCTTTCGGGCTTGCACTTTTCTAGCCCCGACATGGTCCTTGATGAAGGAATCCGCGAGCATTTCAAAGGAATCTATTGAATGCCCGGGTAATAATGAATACCACGCCAAAGCTCATCTTCGTGAGAGTTTCCCCGAATTTCTTGCAACACAGATTCAATTTTGTGATGCGCTAAATCATTTCCTTTTACCGTCGCCGTGTAAGTGGAAATATGCTCCCGAGGATCCGAAGTCCCGTCATATTTTGGCACTTTAGGCATTTTGAACCGTTTTGGGATCAACTCTGGTGCCGCACTCGGCTTGTACGGCAATGGAGTATACTTCTTCGAATCCGGGCCCTTCATTACTGGTGGCGCGTCCGGGGCGCGCCCGGGATTTATCCATGCGGGTGTTTACTTCCATCATAAACCGTAAAAGTTCGCTCTTAAAAGTATCGTTCTCGTTATTGAGACCGGATCCGCTCCCCCCCCCCCACTCCGTCGGATCCAAGCTCACCCCTAGGGGTGTTGTTGACCGGGAGGAATTAGATTTCGTCTGTTTGTATTATTGGAAGCACCTGACAGTGCTTGCTTCAACTCTGTCATAACCTTATCCTGCCGCGTGAGTTGTCCTAGGATGATCGCCTGTTGCTCTTGTAAAACCCTTACCGCGTCAACAACATGTTTCTTATCAGAATCATCGGGTGTTGCCTCCCGAATGTCGAGGATACTACCTGTTATGAACCGGTGTGGTGTCATTCTCCTCATTACGAGTATCACTGATTGAGTCCTCTAAGTGAGGCTGATCTCCTTGAATCTTAGGGTTGTGCGTGTTGTTAACGGTGTTATCTGCCATTTCTTATGGTTTTTCTTTTCTAAAACAAAACAATCAAAGCACGTTAGTAAAAAAGACAAGGACCAATTTAGTTACACGGCTATCTAGGCCCCACGGTGAGCGCCGGAATGTTTACCCGTAAAACCGTACAGTTAAATTTATATGTGGTTTCTAGATAAGAGAACCAATTTGATCCAGAAATAATAAAACAATTGAAGAATAATATGATACTTAGCCTCATGTAGATAAAATAGCAGAAATAACGATTCCGGTAACAAGATTTCCGGGCGCAACAATGATGAGATCAAAAGCAAGAAAATAAATGATATTAAGCTTTATATAGAATGTAGTATAAGTTTGGCAGAAAATTTGTCCCCTTTATAATGATAACTGAGCTCTCTATTTATATCCGTGTCTAGGAAAGGGGTCCTAGGATCGTGCCCTCCTTTAATGTCAATTATGAGGGCCATCGATGAAGGTGTAACGATGGAAATAAATGCAAATTCTTTGTAACGGGCTGTCGTTCTTAATGCTGCAGAATATTCTGCACTAAATGTTATCGAACGCAATGCATTTAATACACCTTTATGAATATTCTCTTCCGGTGACAAGCGGAATAATTGCATTCGGTGACCATCTCCGTCTTGGGTTCCACGTGTCCTTCCTTTAGATGACCACGTATCATATCATATCATATTTTTCCTTATACAATTAATATATACAGTTGTGAGTCCTTGCACTTTTCTTCTTTAGCTGGTTGATTAGAACAATGCACAATTGTTGTTGAAAACTACATCGCTACCATTTGTTCTGCCAAAATTTCTAACAACGTGGGAACAGTAGAATATGATTGACCTTGCCAAAACTAATATCAATAAAATTTTTTTTATTGAAAATTAGTTTACACTTCAGCAACAACTAATATATCCAGTATATTCTTACAGTGTAGGGTTTAAGGGAGGGGGGAGGGGAGGGGTAATGTATATACAGACCTTACTCCTGTTGGAAAAATTGGATTATGGAGAATAAGAGATTAGCTTGAGGCGTGTCAAGGACACTATCCTTAAGGATATTTCGCTTACACCGTGATGAATAAAATTAGACGTATCCCCCAAGATTCAACAAGCTCTTCTAGTATAAACTAGGAGCATAAACAACAAAGATTGAATAAAAAAAAATCCAGCACAAAAGAAAAAGGAGAAGAAAAGTTTTACTTTTTTCATCTTTTTCACTCACCACCAAATAAACACAAGAAGATATATTTATACATAGTCCAAAAGTGGACATCTGACTGTTAAGAAAATATTTTCATTAGTAATGCCAAGAAACGTTACATAACATTAAAAGCAATTAAGCCAAAAACGTTACAAACAGCAAATTGATTATCATAAAAAAATCAAACTGATTTTGATAGCCATAAGAATAGCCATTAAAGGTTAGTAAAAATATTATATTCAAAGTTATTTAAATTTTTAGTTATAGATATTAAAATATATTCAATTGATTGTTATAATAAGGACCTATTAAAATAATATTAAAAGATTGAACTTAGACATCAATTTGAATATTTCCTTTTGAGTTATCAAAATTATTTTTCTAACAATCCCCCACATAACTCAAAAAGAATATTAAGTAATAGAGTAAAATAAAAAGTTTCGCTGGTATATACCCGTAACATGGTACAGTTGAATTTATACGTAGTTCCTAGACAAGTAAATTAATTCGATCCTGAGATAATAAAATAATTGAAGAAATACGCAATACTTAGCCTTGAAATAAATACAAAATAGCAGAAACAGTAATTCGTGAGCAGGGCTTCCGGGCACAACAACAATGAAATCAAGCAATAAGAAGATAAAATTGTATAAATCTTTGAATCAATTATAGCACGAGTTTGCCAGAAAATTCGTCTCCTTTACAATTATAACAGAGCTCACTATTTATAGCTGCACCTAGGGAACAAGGTCCTAGGATCATGCCCTTCTTTAATTTAATTATGAGGGCCATTGAATAATATGTAATAGTGAGCATAAATAACAAATTCTTTGTAACGAGCAGTGTACTAAATGCTGTGGAATATTCTCCATTAAATGCTATCGGGCGGCAGGTATTTATTGCATCTCTATGAGCGTCATTCTTTCCGGTGACAAATGGAACAGTTGTCTTCGGTTTTAACTATCCTCCGCCTTTGGCTCCACGTGTCACTTTCTTATGCAGCCACTTAGCGTAGCATATTTTATCCTATACAGCTGAGTTTTCACAAACGAGCATAATGCGTCGAATCTGGTATCTCTTGGACTATGAACCAGACCTAGATAAACTATGATTAAACTTACAGAACAATTAGTGAAGCTTAAAACTTCTATGAAGCAATTTTTTTTTTGTAAGTTTAATGTCTTATCTATCATATTATACCCCCACCCACTTTGTTGTTTATCGTAGTTTTGCGATAATAGGCCATGCGCGCGCTTGGTTTTCATGAGTGCTCTAGAAATTTTTTGCCATAAATTTCATAGGATTGGCCCACTCCACATTCATATACGTCCATCCATCAAGTATATTCTGCAGCGCGATACACCACCTACAAAAGGCTATGAATTATTGGATTAAGAGTTTAATAACTCAGTCTCACATTCCTTGTAGTGACATAATTTGACAGTGCATACTTGTTA